AGCTCGAAACGACGAGATCAAGAGAAATAGATTTTTTTTTTAATTTTATTTTGTGCTGTATCAATCAAGCCAATGAAAGAAAAAAATAAAAATGTTTTTTTTTTTTTTTGTGTCCTATATTTTTTTGAAATAATATTATCATTTTTTATGGGTATTCTAACAAAAACAAATGATATCAATTTGTTTTTAAATTTTCTTGTAAAAACTATTATGAATGATTGTTTTTTTGCTACATGAGAAATAATAGATTTTTGAAGAATGATGAGTCTGATGAAAGCTTTTCTATTGATAAAAGGTGAGACATTTGGAAAAAAATGTTCCTTTCATGTTTTATTTTAAATAAAAGACCTTACCACTGCAATTCCATTGGGATTAAAGATGTAGACATCACATGTCTTTGTTCAACTTCATTATACTGATACAAAATATGTTAAGTGGAAAGTTTCAAATAGATGATAATTTCTTTATAAAGATAATCGATCTTCAGATAAATGATATGTCTTATTTGTTTTTGCATTTGAAATAGTACGCTATTTAGAATGATTAAAAAACATATTTCAGCTATTTTAATTTGTCAGAAAGCTTTGGAATATCCTCGAGCCGTTCAAGTCTTGTTGTCAATGCCGTTCAGCGTCTTTTTTCCGTCGCTAAAAAGCCATGGAAAAGAAATCTGATGTCTGTTCTTCTTAGTTATTATAGAAACTTCATCATTGATCAATGATTTCAATTCCTAAAGTTCATTACGAGTTTCTTTGGCACCATTGTAATGCCTATTAACGGCATTAAAATAATTAATCTATACTATTATGCTTTGACCTGAGTTTCTGAAAGGAGGGTTTCGGAAAACCTCGCCTTTTAACTTATAGTCACTTTGTTTCTTCGTCAAATATGTGAGTTCCACAAAAACATAGCAGTTGGCATTTACAACAATTTATTAATGAAATATGAAGAAATTTGACGAATTCAACCTGAGACATATTACATTCACAATCTTAGTATTATAAAATTATTTATTTATTCAACAAGGATGTATATCTGTGTTAATCTTCTTTCCAACTACATCCGCACCCTTTTCTAGTACTGCATCACAAGCGATCTTAACAATTTCGGATACACCTTATATGCAATAGCCACACGTCATATTCAAGGATTCGTTTCCAACTAAATATATATACTAGCGGCAACTTCAACCGTTTAACTCGCCTATGAAGCCTTCCCGACAGATGCATAAGAGTGCTTCAGAGGTGGCATTGGTCGTTGCAATCAATGAACTTGTAAATAGAAGTGAGACCATCTCCAATTTTAATGATTTATTTTAAAAGATCTTAATTGCTTTTTCCGGTCAATCAAATACATTTGTGATCATCAAAACTGTCATAATAGTACAAAATGACTTGCATCATCACATTTCTCGACCGACAAAAGACAAAATAAATATTTTTATTCCATAGCATTGAAAATGATCCTCGTATAATTTGATATATGTTGCATTGACTTCTTCCATAAACTTATTAACTTGTCTCTAGAATCTACTTTTGATGCATTCTCAGACGAAATTCTCGTAAGGAACAACGTGTTGAATTACTAAGATAGAAAAAGAATCAAGAGTTCGGACACCAACTGGCATTAGTAGAAGTTGAGAGTATTCTTTGCTTTCAACACATGTAGAGACTAGCACTAAATCAAGTATAGATCTACATTTTTCTAAAGAATTGAATGAATCTTCTTTATTTAATTAATATTATTATATCTAATGTTTTACTGACGAACGATTTACTTGATTTGAATTTCGTTTCATGAAAATAGCGAGAAAACTTTTCCGACTGATCTGACATTTTCAAATTCATCACTTGTAAAGTACGTGAGTAGATCTCAACTAGCATGAGAGATGTATATGCATTCAGTTCATTGGTCGTCTATTACAACCGTCCGAGTGAATTTTTCATCAAAAGCGAAGTATTTTAGACAATGTCAAACAAACTACTCTTGATCTGCAGATAGATCGATGTAATTCTCACTCAAGTTGTATGGACTGTTCAATGAGATGTGTGTGCCAAGAATTGAATTTACACGCCATCGTTGTGCTATTGAAAGTCATGTAAATTTTTGATATTTTCTTCTTCGAAAACCTGCGCATTCATTGAGAGTGTAGATAAGTATTGTGAGAATGAAGAGACAATAACCTACACGCCCAACTTTAATAACCTGATATACCGAGCTCTATCATTTACACATTCGTCGTGACATTAGACAATCACACTTTCATGAAGTCTCTAGAGATTTGATCAAAACCTACATGTTGCAAAAGAATTAGAATAAAATGATGTTATTCTACAAAGTGAGCAGAATTTAGTGAAAAACTTTCAGCAATAATGGCAGGTGAGCCACGAAAAGTAGCAACATGTTCAGCTTCATAGTTGATGATGATAATGAATTCAGCTTACAGTCAATGTTTGCACAATCATCAAATCTCACTTGAAATTTATTGTTGATGTCCGTACCTTTTACACCGACGTAAACAAACTCTGGTTTCGTTTGTGGTACATCAATTAGCAAGGTTATTTCTTTATTCTCATCATTCCTTGCTCGGTTGCGCGTTACTGTATCATGCAATTTTGATTTGATCCTAAATGACTTCTGATCAATAGTTGTGTACGAAGAATAATCCCTAAAATCATCAGGATCCTTTGGATTACGATTAGTAAACGAAAAAAATAATTTCACATTTCCATTGACGAGAATCACAGTTATCAAAATTTTGTTGCCAATTATGTCAATCTTGATTTTTAAAAATTTATACTTATTTACATCGACTTCATCGATGATAGTCGAATTTGGCATGATGATAACTGGTTCCGAACACACTCGGGATGTAATTTGATTTAGTTTCTGTTCAACAGCTACATTGTTTGTTATTTGAAAACAATTATCGGTCTCCGGTAGTGTACAAATAGCGTGGAGTTCTTTCAAATTAAGACTACTGCCTACGCCGACAGTAATCAAATGAATACCTCTTGCTTTTAGAACTTGAGCAGCCTGATTGGCTGCATTTTGATCACCACCTGCATGATGAGTAATTAAAAATAAGACCTGCATGACACCTTCTTCTGGTTGTCGAAGGCCACGTGCAGATGAGAAAATATCTAATGCTTGCTGAAGTCCAAGATGTGTAAATGCACTAACAGAAAAATGCTTGACTTGATGATTGAGTCGTTGAAGTTTTTGATCAAGAGTATAATCAGTGTTTAGTGACGTCACAATCTCAGCTAAATCTGAGTAGTTTATAATACCAACATGGGTTTTATTTTCACCGACATTCATTCGTCGAAGCAAATCACTTGTAAAACGATTCTGTAATTCATAAGTGATTGAGTCTGTGCTGCTACTAGTATCGATAACCAAGCCTAAATCGATTTTTAACTCTTGTTAACAACTATCCAAACAGCATCGAATATGCGCTGGACTATTAGGACACTGTGGTCCCTTCTCACCAAAACAGCCGCAATATTCTCCGAGATTTTCAAGATCTTTTATGCAATCAGGTGTACAGAAACCTTTATGTGTGGCATTATATTGACATATTGATCCTTCACCAGGATGCAGATAATCACCACATTTCATTGCACGAAGGAATTTCAGATATTGTTTAACTGCATCGGCTAATTGAGTCACATCTCCATCTAGTTTGTACCTTTCAAAATAAAGAACACAGACATGAAACTCTATATGAGAAAAGAAACATTTTATACATACCATAGCATCGAAAACCCATAAAAAGACCCATCAGCATATTGTGTCAAAGTTGTTTCTACAAAGAAAAGAGAAAAAAAATGCTTATTTCGGAGTGAATTTCAACAGAGCGTAAGTATGAGTGTGGATGTGAGCCTCGTTTTTCTTCACACCCATACCCGCAAGTCATCCACACTCAAATACGTATAATATCCTCGGAGTGTGGGAAGAAGACCAGTCTCATACGTATAAATTATTATCTTGCTGAACTTTTCTGTTGAAGTTCTTCTTCGCAATTGAAATGAAAACAACATTGAACTTCAGACAATGCACATATCGGAAATGTTGAAACGATTACGGCAGGTAGCTTCGAGGAATGGAAGGAGAGTTTAACTGCATCAAATCAGCGGTCAACAAACAAAAAGATAATGAGCAACGGAAATTGGTTACTTCTGCTGAGTACTGTGATTTTTTCGTAGCTTTTTGAGGGTGTGGACTTCAATAAAGAGAAGGTACTCACTCACTGCAGCTCATGAACGCACACACAATTACCCTCACTTATCCTTCATCTAAGCATTAGCAATGCTTAGAGTATGACAGTTTTTCTCAATGTCATCAATCTGCTTCAAGAATTGCTTGATCGAAAGAAGAATTTCAAGTTAAAGAAGTTTGCCGGTCACCATCGTAATTTTCCAATGCTTAGCGAAGATAGCATTGGAGAGAATCATATTCAATGAATTCCGTCCTCTCTTGTTCAATAACGATAGTGATATTCAGAATTCTGTCAAAATAAATTGATCAAATCATACATTATGAAACACTTCACGCTCACTACTCTCGATTCCTCTTAGTCTGAAATCACCATTGAACTATATGATCAAGACGCAGATCTCGTCATGTGTCTTTGATAGCCTCGGTATTTCTCTTGAAACTTTGCTACGCGATAATTCTTCATGCTCATCAGTAACTACATATTCGAGGAAAGTACTGCATTTATGTTTTTGGATGCAGAATTGCTAACTGCTGTGCTCATGCCACATAATGTGGCGGAATTTTGGCATCGAACGAGTGAAGCTGTCTAACTCTGCACACTTCTTTCCATTGTTCGACTTCTGTCATATCACAAAAACAGCAATCGTCTTGAAGAATCGGGCTTGTGGTTCAATGACTACAGTTACTACATTCTTATACTTTCTTAAAGTGTTACAAAGGTCACGGAATACGAAGAAACTCATCGATTAACTGGAATATTTTCGCCTCGTATCTCGCTTGAAATAATATTTCTCTAATTCCTCACCAACAACGTCTTAGCAGCAGTCCACTCAAGAGTAGAGCATACTGTTCTCAAATTATGTTTTTCTGTTTCATCAAAGTACACAACTCTGTGACAGAGGCTATGTCTATTGTACGTAAAACAACTAATCCGACAACATCATCAATCATAAAAATAAAAGTAAAACTCCGAAGGTTTCCAAAATATCTTTTAGAGATGTACTCCTTGAAGTTCTGATCGAAATGTTGATGATAATCCCATTATCTTACTCATTATGAACTACTTCAGGGTGCGGGTAGAAAACAGAATCAGACCTACACTCACACCCTACGTCATTTCATTTACTTGATACTCATAAATAATGATTCGACAAATACAATGAATAAGTTAAAACCTCCTACGGTAATACAATACTCACCATTTAGCAAATTAGGATTATTCCATTGTCGTGCAGCAATTACCATTCCATTTTCAACTATTGCCACTGACTCTGGCTGGCTTAGACTCTGATACTGTGGTATCGATTTCTGCAGTCGTTGGTACATTTCTCGTCCTCGAAGACCAAAGAAGCCTCGTCGACGAAAGCGTGATCCATCACCCAATCGATCATTTCCATACTTATCGTCATCATCAGCGAATTGGTTATCAGTACCAGTCGCTTCATCACTTGTAAAGTCATTTGTCATTGTAGCTGATATAGCAAGAAAGGCAGCTTTTGCATGACAATTCGAGCAAATTCCAGCTTGATTGATTGCGTAATTTAAAATTCTGCGCAAAAAAGCAGCACGAGGTGTACTGTATAAGGCATTGAATTCACCTCCAGTAATACAGACTGGTGAAGCTGCTGGCGCTTGTCCAGAGACACAACAATGTTGTTGCCCACATATTTCAGTAGCTATTACTGTTCCTTGGCATTTGTCGACAGGAGAACAATAGCCAGCGATAGATTGATTGAATCGTGCATGACATTCTTGTCCATCAACAAGAGTCAAATGTGTAATAATCAAAATAGCCGCCAGGTATCTCATTTTTGAAAAGGTCTCGAAATATGCGTTGATACGAATGTTTTTTTTTTTTTGGTTGATATATATACAGAGTGTTATCATCGTTGACGAAATATATGCATGTCGCGTGCACTTGATAAAAATTTTATGATTTATATAAGTACATTTTGATAAGCTTTGTTTATCGGGATATACAGCCTACCGTCTACGCTTATTTTCTTGTTATTTGATAGAATGAAATTACATCTAATTCATAATGCAATCAAAAATAATGGAATTGAAATTTCCTGTCAAAGGTCAATAAGACATAAGAAAATTCCTATCGCATCATTCTGGGATACAACGTAATGCAAGCAATAAAAATAACTAGCAGGACAGAGGAAATGGAATATGTGCACTATACAAATCACACGAGAATGGACAGTAGTACTTCAGAGCTCGCGAATCGCTCGCAAAAAATATTGATATTGATACAAAGTGCGAACGGTATTTCAAAAGCTACAATATTCGATTGTTAATTCAGAAAAGATGTACATAACCACATATCGTGTTTATAAAGTCTGCGACACAAAATATTCGTGACTTTGTTTTCGTGCAATGAAAGAAGTCCATTTATCTCAAAACTTGAGTAGTTATATCGGATGTGAATGTGGTTCTATATGCATGTATGACTGAGAGACTGGAAATAAAGAGAGGATTCATACGCGAACTGTCCACTCATACACACATTCACCATACTCCCGAGCCTATCCGAGTATGATCAGAGTTCTTTGTGCACTTACAGCCTTCGAATTCGAACTAGCTAGTTTCTACAAACGTGGAATTGAACAATTGCCAGCAAGATGAGTGAAGATTGTCGAAAGTATTGGTGATTGAATTGTTGATTCATGTCGCATATTATTGTTGTAAAATAAGCTTGTTGCTGAAGAAAAAAACTTGCAAGACTTTTGTTCTAACTCAATATAAAATAAATAGTATCTTCAAGAGTTTTTTTAATTAATTATTTTTCTTAAATCTGAAAGCAGAACAAAAAAAATGGCATTCGATGGATACATGAAATCAGTTTAACATTGAATATTCAATAGAAATGAAAATATTTATAGCTCAGTTTGCCGTTATAACCAACCAATCAGCAGTAGTTGACTTGTGCAGGAATGCGAGCGTCGCTGTGCGTTTGCATGTAGGGCTGAAAAGGAACCTCTCACCCTCATCCATACGCACACTTCACACCCAATCATCCACATACACACAAACAAACTTTTCGTCTTTTTTTTTCAGAAATTCTTTCATTTTACAAAAGCAGCAGACTTCTTTCTCTTTTCTGAGTTAAGATTTTTATGTATTTTATTTGCATTGCATGAAATATGTGCAATAACGTTAAAGGTAAATCAACATCTACCACTTGAAGATGGTTGCATGTGAAGTTTAGTGTGTATTCGTCTCCATGATAAGATAAAAAGAAATGCACAAACTGCTGTCACATGCATTAACATTTTGCGATCGATAGTTTTATCTTTATTTGTGATTGCTTCGATGAAATTGGGGTGGTTGAGAAAGTATCGATATTGTTTGTTTTTTAGATAGACTATCAAAAGAAATATCATAGCATAAGATAAACTACTTCAAAATTGTCTCTCCTTCTCCTTCTATGTGTAATGCTCTCTTTATTTATGTAAACATATGCTTAAAATGTTGAATTGAAATTCTCAAAGACAAACGGACCTCATTGAATCGATCGTAAGGTAAAAATGAATTGAATTGTCATTCAACAGGATGAAAGAGAGCATTTCATCATTCACATGTTATAGTACTATGTTTGATTTCATTTAGAAATATTTGTAGATTAAGCTTGGTGGAATGGGAAACTTTTCTGGAACCACAAACTCAGCAACACCAGTCATAAAAAGAAAATATTTGAACAAGAAAAATAATTTGAAATTTTGCGAACAGAAAATAGTTCAAAATTTTATTCTGATTTGGTTAGATGCATCCATTGGAGAAGCAGGAAAAGATTTCCAATATACCATTTCTCAAATAAATAAGATCTTTAATTCAATCACGTTATTTACTGATTTGAACACATGTCGTGAATTCATTGAAAAGACAAGGTATGAACAAATATTTCTTCTTGTATCTGGAAGACTTGGAGCAGAATTAGTACCGCTTGTTCATAAATATGTTCGACTTGATTCCATTTATGTATTTTGTGGCGAACCAGAGCGCCACAAATGGACGAAAGAATGGAAAAAGATAAAACTTGTTTCCAATCAAATTGAAACTATTTGTCAATTAATTGTAAACGATGCTGCACAATGTGAACAAGATTTAACTCCAACTAGTATTCTTTCGTCGAATGATTCTTTGAATCAAGATTTACAACAAATTAATTCATCATTTATGTATTCACAACTGATAAAAGACATTCTATTTGAAATGACCTATGATGAACAATCAATAGACGAGCTTGCTAATTTTTCTCGAAAAAGTTACCCTCGCAATTCAGCTCAATTAAAAATTATTGATGAATTCCAAAAAGATTATCACAAACATACACCAATCTGGTGGTATACTCGTGAGTGTTTCACTTATCGAATGCTTAATCGTAGTTTGAGAACTTTCGATATTACTATTATTTCCATGATGGGCTTCTTTATGAAAGATGTTCATCAACAAATCAAAGAAATACACTCAAAAATGTCCAGGCGAATGGGACCATTTGTCGTTTATCGTGGTCAAGGAATGCTTAATGACGAATTTACTGGAATACGTAATAATATCGGTGGTCTACTTGCATTCAATAGTTTTCTTTCTACAAGTGAAGATTTAAAAATCGCGACAAAATTTGCACAACAATCTGCAGGCCGAGCTGGCAAAACTGCTATTCTATTTGAAATAGAAGTTGATCCAACTTTAATATCAATTTCATTTGCTTCATTAAATAATCTTAGTTACTGTAATGAAAAAGAAAAAGAAATTCTTTTTTCGATGCACACCGTTTTTCAAATTGTTCAAGTCAAGGAGAACACTGGTAATATATGGAAAGTCAACTTAAAATCGGTGAATAATACCGACTTACAAATAACACGATTAACTGAACACATCAGACAAGAAATCGGTGAAGGAAGTGCAATCGAGCGATTAGGTCGATTAATGATTGCATTAGACGAACTTGAAAAAGCTGAAGCATTCTATGAACTATTACGTGAATCAACGCCTGAAAATGATAAAAAAGCATTTGCTTCGATCTATAATCAATTGGGATACATTAAATATAAACAAGGTGATTATTCGAAAGCTCAACAATTCTATGAAGAAGCACGTAGAATTCAAGAAAAAATGCGTCCTTCTACTGATCTTGATCTAGCGACTACCTATAGTAATATGGGTCTGCTGTATACAAGCTTAAACGACACTTCTAATGGATTGTTATATCATCAAAAAGCTCTTGAAATACGAGAGAAAAAACTCAACGTAAATCATCAGGATTTAGCTACTACTTATAACAATATCGGACTCGTATATGATCAAAAACAAGAATTTCTAACTGCTTTGACATATTATGAAAAGACACTTAAAATTTATCAACAAACTCTTCCAGAAAATCATCCTTGGTTGGCTACGTCTCACAAAAATATTGGTCTCGCTCAAATATCGATGGGAGAACGTACGACAGGACTCAATAATCTTTCGAAAGCAATGGAAATACGAAAAATAGCACTTCCTTCTAATCATCCATCGATAGCTTCTCTTTGTGCTATCATTGGCGAAGTATATCGAGTAGCAGAAGACTATACCAGTGCGCTCAAGTTCTATGAAGAAGCAATAGATATTGAAAATAGAGCTTCTTATGTCAATTATTCAAGTTTATCTATGGCTTATTACAAAATATCGAGAATATTGAATGAGCTCAAACAATATGATAAGGCTCTGAGGTATGCTGAACTTGCTGTTCAATCAGTTGGCAAGTCTTCAATGCCAAATAATTCGGATGCAATAAAGTATAAGAAAAACTTCGAAGAACTTCAAACAAAACTATCATGACTTCGTTTTATTGACACTATTATTAAAAACTTGTCTAGATATACAACAGTAAATAAAAAGAAAAAAAAAGAAAAAGTTTACAATCAGACTACTAGAAACAGGAATAATTGAAGCAATCTATATAAATTTTTGAGAACAAATACTTTTTAGAGTTCGTCTCTCAGCACTGATAAATATTCGATCATTGTCAAAGTTCTTCGTCTGGATAGAGTTATTGTTGGCTAATTCAATGACTCATATTCGTTAAATTAAACACAATTGTAAATGCCTATAGATAGATAATAAAACACATTGAAAGAAATATTAATTTCAACATAATAAATATTAACTGTCGTCACGTAGTAATGAAAACTTAATGTTTAGACGTTCCTATATATACATAGACATTATGTGCTATTTCTTGTTCAATATCAGATAAAAGTCTTTTAATTTGAAAAAAATAAAAAGAATCTAGCCTGAACTTCAGGATTCAAAAGTATCTTGTTTGGTCAATCAAAGAAAAAACAAGAAACTAGAAAGAACGTCGACTAGTGTCCTCTCTAAGATGACATTGACTAGCTTGCGATATTAAGTTACTGATAAAGCGAATGAAAAAACCATATTGCATCCTATTATAAAAAGCAAAAAGGTAAGACGAAATACAAAGCACGAATCATCCTTGTTCTGTATCATAAGACATGTTATTTTGGCCTTCAGATTATTTTTCTTTCAAACAAATTTCTTAGAAATAAAATCAATATTTCTATTTTTTGTTTTGTTTTGGCGTGTAACAACGATATTCGTATCATCACAATAATAAAATTCCGTTTCAATTCATATGGCCAACAAAACATCAGTTTTAAACATCGAAAAAAAACTATTTGTTCGTACACACGATGATGAAAATAAAGAAAGTATAACACTTATTTGGTTTGATCCAAACATTGAATTACATGAAGATATTGAAAAAACAAAAGAACAACTTCGTCTTATTAATGATTATGTTATTTTTTCTACTGACCTTGAACAATGTATTAGTTATATTGAATTAATTGATAAAGAAAAAATTTTCTTAATAATATCAGGATTTGAAGGATCACAAATATTACCTCAAATTTGTTCTTTACGTCAAATTGATTCAATTTTTATTTTTTGTATGAATAAAGATCAATGTGAATATTTATTACATGAATATTCAAAAATAATTGGAATTTATATTAATTTGGATGATTTATATCAATCAATAAAAGAAGAAATTAATTCTGTTAATAAACAAATAGAAAAGTTTTATTTTTTTGATCAAGATCAAATATTAACAAAAGATTTATCAAAAGAATCAACAAAATTTCTCTTGATTCAATTATTTAATTATGTTATTACTCGTTTTTCACGAAATGAACATGCTAAACAACAAATGATTCAAATATGTAAAAAATATTATCATGAAAATACAAAAGAAATTAAATTAATTAACGAATTTGAACAAAATTATCGATCACAAGATGCTATGTGTTGGTATTCAAGAAAATCATTTGTTTATAAATTAATTAATAAAGCATTACAAACAGAAGATATCAATTTATTATATCAATTTCGATTTTTTCTTGGTGATCTTTCTGAAAATCTTCAATGTCAACATGAAAAAATTTTATTATCAAATGAAACTATTTTAAATGTTTATCGAGGATTTAAACTTGATAAAGAAGAATTTAATAAATTAAAACAAAATCAAGGAAAACTTGTTTCAATGAATAGATATTTATTAACTAGTCGAGACAAATTACAAGAATTTAATTTAGCAAATAAACCAACAAAAAGAATTGATATCATTTCTGTTCTTTTTCATATTCAATGTGATATTAAAAAAATTGATAAAAATATTTTTTTTTCTGATATTAATCAATTAAATGATTATTCAAATAAACAAGAAGTTTTATTTGATTTAAATGCTTGTTTTCAAATTGAATCTATTGAAGAATATCAATCATTACAAATAATTAAAATGAATCTTTCAAATCAAGGACAAAAAATTACTAAAGATTATATTGAATTAAAACAAAAACATAAAGAAAAACGAAGTATTTCGATTGTTTTTGGTAGATTATTTTGTAATTTAGGAGAATATGATAAATCACAAACATTTTTTCAACATTTATTCAATGATTCAATTGATGAAGATCTTGCTTGGATTGAATTTAATATTGGTCGTGTACTTTCATTTAAACGTGATTGGAATGAAGCTCGAATATATTATGATCGTGCATATAATCGAATGATGAATAATAAACCACCACGAATAAATGATTCTGCTCATGTTCTCAATAATATTGCTTGTATTCTTCCTAATCAAGGTAAATATGATGAAGCTCTCGAATATCATCAACGAGCATTAGAAATTCGAGAAAAAATTGATCCATCTGATCATATCGATATTGCTCAAAGTCTATACAATATTGGTCGTATTCTCGATCATCAAGAAAAGTACGATGATGCTCTCGAGTACTATCAAGGAGCATTGAAAATTCAAGAGAAAGTTTATTCATCTGATCATGCTAATATTGCTAGAAGTCTCAGTAACATTGGTATTATACTCTATCGACAAGGAAAATATGAAGAAGCTCTCAATTATCATCAGCGAGCATTGAAAATTCGTGAGAAAATTTATCCATCTGGTCATATCGATATTGCTTATAGCCTTAATAATATTGGTATTATTCTACGTAATCAAGGAAAATATAATGAAGCTCTTGATTGTTACCAAAGAACATTACAAATTGAAGAAAAAGTTTATCCATCTGGTCATGTCGATATTGCTAAAAGCCTTGCTAATATTGGTAACATTCTTTCCGATCAAGGAAAATACGAAGAAGCTCTTGATTATCATCAACGAGCATTGAAAATTGTAGAAAGATTTTATCCATCTGGTCATCTCGATCTTGCACACAGTTTGAATAATATTGGCATATGTTATGAAAATCAGAATCAGCAAAAGATGGCATTTGATTATTATCAACATGCATTGACTATTTATGAGAAGTTTCTTTCTTTTGATCATCCACGTCGACAGAAAACCGAACACAATATTCGTCGACTTACTGGCAGAAGGCAAACTTACTAAATGACACAGTTGAGAATAAAATTCCAATATCGATGTAAAGATTTTGTTATAATATTCGAATGTTTTATATCTAATTATGAATATTCAACATTTCTGGGATTAAAGTTTTACATTAAATTTTCTTTATTAAACAATGATCAAGGTTGATAAAAGCCAAAAAAGCTTTCGATCATGATTAAGTTTTAGTTTTTTTTTGTGAATTTATTATGAGAAAGAATTATTTTATTTTCATTTAGTTATAAATATGAAAAAAAAAAAAAACTAAATTGGAATTGTTTTTTGTTGATCCAATTAATAAATTTCGTTGAAAAGAAATGTTTTTTTTGTATTTAAAATTAAATTCATTGTAAAAAAAAATTTAGAAAATGTTTTCGAATGAAACCAATTTTTGTAAAATGAAGAAATTTTTGAAAATTGTAAATAAATTTTTTGATACGATTACTGGTGTAGCCAGGAGTTTTTAAGTCATGGACTGTTTTCCAGTTAAATTATTTTGAGGAATGTGTAGCCGTGAGCAATTAATAATGAATTGAACTGCAATTTTTTTTGAAAACTTATTGTCATCATTGTAAGCATCGATTTAACGGGGAAAAATGGTCAGTTGTGAAAAAATGACAAAAATTAATTGTGAAAATTTTCAGTATTAAATCAAAAAAAAAAGAAATAAGTTAGATTTTTCTTTCAGTTTTATTTACTCTAATAAAAAATAACAAGAAAAAAAAACTAACTTTAACAAAAAAATTATACAATAAAATGCAAAAAACATGACTATATGTCTCTGACAAAAGCATTTCTAACTTTATTTCTTTTGATTTTCAATTGATTGTGTAGCTTCCTTCTGTTCAATATAAGGTGCTTCAATTTTTAATTGTCCATCATCAGTTAAATATGATTGTAATTGATCAATTCGTGTACCAGGTGGTAACGTTGTGGATTTAAAGAAAAGTAATCGTTCTGAACAATTCTTATCTTCATGTTAATGTTCATCTTGAACAATTAATTCATTATTTTTAACCGATAATTTGATTTCATCTGGTCACTAATTCTTCATTCCAATTGACATTTCAAGTTGCTTTTGATTGTTACCTTTATCCATAATACGTGGTTGAAAATCTGAGTCAGCCAAAAATGCAACATAATCAAATAATGGCTCACGATATTGACCGAATTGTGCTAAACTTCGATTATCATTTTTTTTCCTTGAGCAATACGACGTTCTGTTTCGGGATTATGAATAGATACTTCGATGACAGGCATATTATTCCGTGTTACATATGAAGCTAAACGTTTTGAATTTATACAAAACAAAAAAAAACATTTATAAATGCAAATATTTGATAAGCAAATTAATGTTTTTTTACTTACAAGCATGTGCAGGTAATTCATAGGCTTTTCGTAGTTCTCAAATATTATAAGCACTATTAGGTTGACGATCTTCTTGTTTAGCTTCAACAATTACTTTTCGATCCTCAACTTTTGTTTTAATTGTTTCTGGATTGAAATCTGTTACATTAAGTTGAATGCGATATTGTTCTGCATTCGGTGGTCGTGATGTTGTTGCTAGATTTTTACCATAATTTGATTTATTACTTTATGAATACGTTAATCGATATGGTTCTTGATCCATCGAAAAGCATTTGGTTTAACAGAAAGTGCCGATGGAAATGTATCAAAGTCATACCATGGATCGAAGATATCTAATTGATCATTAAAGAATCCACCAAATGGATCGTCAAATAGACGATAACGATGAATTGAAAAAAATGCCATTGTTTTGTAGAAGAAGTGTTGAGAGAGTTTGATAATCGAAGTTGAGTGTTGAAATATCTGTTTTTCTTTTCTGTTGACGAAAGAAGATGATAGTGGACATATGCGAAAGATAATGTTTATTATTACGATTTGAACTTTTTGTAACAACCTTCTATTTTTATCGAAAAATAGTATTGTATCAGAACTTAAATTTCAAGTGGACTTTGATATGATCTTAAGATATCATTTTAAAGAAGCTCATATCGATATTATAAAATAATAATGATGATTGTAAAATAAATATTTCGAAAATCGTATCGGCTAGTCGCTTATAGGTTTCATTAACCAATAGAAAAGCATTTTCTTATATTATTATATAGAATCAAACTTATTTTACAACTAATTATCGTATCACGTCGGTCTCCTCCTAAATAAAAGTTTCTACTTCTAAAGTGGCGAGTTGGACTTTTATTCTTTTCGATCATCATAAAATTTTTACATAATTAATTAAGCATCAATAAAAGTGGATGACATATTATATTGCGAATAAACTTTCAATGAACGCGAAGAATGTGGGTGTGGTTGTTGATGACTGTGAATGTGGGTCAGTTGGACTGACGGCGGAAGATCACATTGGGATACCGTCATACAGCACGTCCATACCCACTAACACACTTTTTGTAATACATGTTCATCATCGGAGCATGTATTAGTCATCTCACCGAGGATATTGCCCCGTCGTGTTATTGATAAGACAGTGTCCCTGTAAGCGTGTGCATATCTCTTCGAATAAAAACAAGAAAAATATTCTTTTTCCATCAATACATTTACTTCTGAAAAAAAGACGAAAACCAATTACATTTCCTTTATTACATCTTCGATGATAGTTCAATACACTTTAACATTTGGATCACTTGCAGGTAGTGAATATTCTACTATGTTAAGAGCCCGTTCAACATATGAAAGCGTATTCGAATAGTCACCCATTCTGTCATATATCGAACCAATGTTGTTCTAAAAAGGAGCTAAATCGTCGCCCGTTGGAGAGAGAATCTTCTAAAGTATTTTATTTGATTGTTGATAATAGGCCATGCCATCTGCATATTCACATTGACCATTCTTGACTATCTCGAGCCTATGGTAAATAAGTTGTTTTTTTTTATTATGAGTCGTTGTTTGACGAAGCAGGATATCATATACTTCTTGGGTTTTGTTGAATTGTACAAATTTAATCAGTAACATACTCAGACGATTCCATCCTTCCAAATTAGGATAGGTCTCTTTTCGAATGCTTTCAGTAAGTTCCTGAAGTTCTGGATCGTTGTCACTAGTCAATGTTAAATCGACTTACTAGAGACGATTATTTTCATCCCTTTGTTTCATTGATGCAATACGAAAGATGAAATGTACAGAGAAGAGAATTTCTTCTTCTTTCTTGAAACAACTGACTTGATGAACATTTGCGAAAGGAATAGTCGATGTTGTTGGATTAAAAGTTATTTCAAAAAGTACGCTGATCAGATGGGAATCATTGCGATTACTGTGAGCAAAGGCATGAGATACTTCTCGATCCATCCTTATCGGCAAAAAACTATTAAATGATAGAAGTTCGCCTTCGGTTTTCATCAATTTATCAAAGTGTGCCTGAGACACTCCTTTGCCACGATAAACAGTAAATAAACTCGTATGTGCATGTCCAGCAAACTGCTCCTCATGAAGATTTCGAATTAAAAATCCCATTCTAATAATGAGATCCACTTCCATCATGTGGGTGTGGAAAGAAGAGAATATGCACACTCACACCGGCAGCGACATCCATCTACACCCACACCCTTTTGCATGGCACCTAAAATATAATGAAGGACTAACTGGGTCTAAATTCAAAAATAAGTTCAATATTTGGTAACTGATGTGAATCATGTACGACGTGAAAGAATAATGTGAGGTAAATAATCAGCTTCACTTTATCGCTCGCCTTCGAAATTTGCTACACACGTGTTTTGATTTGAATAAGCTTATTATTTGATTGAAATCTTCTTTAATGAGATTCTTTTGTCTTCATCCTGTTTCGGAAAAACCACTGGCAGCCATCATAATAATGAATATTGTCTTTCGTTATCACTTCTATTCTAATAAAAACCATGCAACATTTCTTTCTACGATGGCGACAGTAGCAATACATATTACCCACTATGTCGAAACCTTCCCCTGTTTTAAGTCTGCTCAGTGATGTTTATGGAAATTCGATCCACTGTTCGTAATTCGAAGCACATTCGAATACACTAGAATTTTGACTAACAGCTTTTACTGGTTAGTAAATCGGTTCGAATCGATTGAAAATCTCTCAATTCGATTGAGTTAGATTGCGATTCCAATCGATTGTTATGATTAATTTTTCAATCGATTTTAATCAGATTGTAGTCGAAAATTTGGATTATTGTGAAAATAAACGGATTTGTTCGTCCGTAATAAAAAATAGTCTGGATTTTGATACTAATATTTTCACTGGGACGTGAAACATAACATAAAATAAGTAAATAAGCATAGAATATGAATTAAATGAAAAAAAAGTAGAAATACAGAAAAACTTTATTGTCAAATCAAGCTCCTTTGAAAGCAAGTCGTTTTGTAATAACTCTCCTTGATTATTTCAATGTGATTATGGATGATGATAAATCTTGATCAGCTTTACGTTTTAGTGTTATATTTCGACGAGATCTTTTTTGTGTCAAGTTGTATCAGTCATAATACATTTACGTTGTTGTGTCGATTTTAGTGCCGCTCAAGATGAATGTGTATTTCTTCAGGTAGATCTTAAATTATTATTGCCGAGTTTATTTCGATAACTACGATTATCGTTGATTCAATTGAAGAATCGGTGATCGATTGTTTGCTGAGCTGTTGAAACGGGCAAAGAAGTTATTATTATAAACGATTCAAATCATCTTTATCTTCAAAGCTGAATGTCGAATTACCAGTATCATCTTGAAGAGGACTAACAGATGTTTGTCTAATTTTGATTGAAGTGGTTGCTTGCAAATGAGACAAAGGAAGATTATCATAGCCATGTGATGTGTGAAAAATCTAAAAAGAAAGAAAGAAATAGTAAAACTCGATCGTTTGCTCTAGATAAATAAAGAAACCTCAAAATCTAGGCTTTTTCTTTAAAAAAACAACGGCTTCAGCATATGGTCATGCTTTATATTCTATAACGCGAGTAAATCAGTTCGTAGTTTTTTTTATATAAAAGTACGATTCTCTGATCAAGTTTACAGAAGAAGAGTATTTAAAGAATGATTTTAGGTCACAACACATTTTTTGAAAAGAATTCAGTTGAACCACTCGATATATGCTTTGGTCTATGGTTTCTGTCCATATAAGGAGATATATAGCTGATATGATTCTATACCACCATACGGTTTAGATATATACCTATTGAAAACAATGTTCCTAGCTACGTGCTTTTATGGAAAAGCCTTATCTAGAACAAATATCATTCGAAGTCTGTATTAAATAGTTAGAAAGATATTGATGTTTCGGAAGTGAGGTGCAGAACGAGAAATATTTTTTTAATAAAAGACTATTAACTTTGCTTAAGGCAAGATATTTCCATGAAAATATTAATTAATACTATCGTACTACAATGAAGATCTTCAAACGTTGTTTTCCTACTATCAAATTGAACCAAGGAACTTACTGGATTTGATGTATCAGATGAATATAAGTTGATATAATTGATTAGTGAGGACTGAGTAGAAATTTGCACTATATTGGTGATTGGTTCGTATCACTTGATGAGCGGTTGATTAATAACTAATTGTGTATTTTCAGTGTTCTACTATTATAAGATCTGTACTGAAACTAATCTTGAATGGTTCATGATTGAAGCAAAACCATAAAAAACTTGATTTAATATAAAAGTCATATATAGTTTTATACGAAATCCACGAAACCTATAGGTGATTTACGAAAAGATGCAAGAGCTTATAAGGGCACTGCGAAATCTTTAGAGAAAGTATGAAACTTCGAATCTTTTCATATAAAATCATCGGTTTGACTAGGAAACCTTCACTTGAACATCGAAATCCTCGAGTGGTTGCGTCGACATGTCACAAAACGCCCGGTAATTTACAAAACTGTTAAAGGTATAGTATTTGAAAATCTGAACCAGCTAAAAATCTACAGAACTCTGAAAACGGGTCTCTCAGAAATTTCGAAACTCTGTTGAATCTGCTGAACATAAAAAAGTTTTGTAAAATAATAGCTAAACGAGTTTTATTTTACTGAACCGAAAATGGTTCAAAAAATAGATAAAGAACTTCTGAAGTTTGATAATCAACTTTTTTTTCTTTGAGTGCAGCTTGTTACCAGTTCAGACCGGTCATAGATTTCAACTGACAACTATCTAACAGTTTTAAACCGGTTGAAAAAAACTTTTTAACCAGCCAATTTTATTTTTTTTGAACGGAGAAAGACTGCTCTTCTTGGCAATAACAACTACCAATTTTCCACAAATAGCATTTTTTTATCAGAAGCCTTTCTGGTTCAGCTCTATAATACTTCTACTAGGCTCTAGCTTTTTGAAATAGAAGTATATAAGAGCATGCTGTCTATTATTTTCATATTCTAAGCGCATTCTAGAAATATTTTGATTTAATTCTATATTAAGCACGAAAAATCTGTTATTGATCAATAATTTACTCTTCCTAGTTCAGAGATAATTCGAAACTTAAGCAGTGAAAAGAAATACAACTGGATTTCAATTCTTAGCTATATACATCAGTTAGATAGTTTAACACGTTTTTGTGAATCGAAATTACGCTGAATTTATTAGAAATAAACGAAATAGTCATATAGGGATAGAAAGAGGAGCGAACAAGGAGGGACAACAATACATACCTCTTCTTAAGTAATTGTAAAACTATCGAACATATGTAATAAAATATAAAAAGTGGATCAAGAAAAGATGATAACTTAAAGAAGAAGACAGAAGAGTACATATGTGTACTCCGTTAGACGAGAGAGAGAAAAGCAGAAGAGTATATTGAAGATAGGAAGAACACGATACATAGGATAATATGGATATGTGACAATTCAGTAATATTATGTAACAGCACCCTTTAAACATAAGTGTAGTTTTTGTCAATCAATCCATATGTTTTCATCTCTTCCCAAAAATTTGACGGTATAACCGCATTTCCGGCTGCTGCCATATCTAAATTCTCTTTAACACGATCCACATCTGCAGTATTTAACGCAATACTCTTAACTCCCGGTGCATATAGTCCAAATGTGATGCATACTTGAGCCGGTTTGATTTTATATTTATTGCATAGTTTAAAAAAATTTGTACGCCATTGAAACAGTTGTCGATCGTATAGAGGATCCATCAATCTATAATTATAATAATCTTCGCCAATTAAAAATCCACCATTAAAGACTCCTGCGTTGATAATGATTGTTCCACGCTTTTGTAGTTCTTCCATAAAAGTAACTAGCTCCTGGGGTTGACTGTGTACAGTCATACTATTGGCAATCATTACCCAATCTAAACTAACATCGTTTACAATACGTACTATCATTCTCCAATCTTTTGATCCAATGCCAATGGCTTTGACTTCATCTCGATTCTTCAATTCAGAAAGTGCACGGTAAGCTTCAATAATGTCATTGTAACGTTTGTCCTTTTCTAGCTGACTTTGAGCAGCAGCAACATACTCATCTGGATCATGTATTGATACAAGTTCAGCCTTGTAACCATTCAACAGCTGGTTTCCTTGTTCATAGCATTCAAGTATGCCTTTGTAGCTGATCTTCTGTACTGCATCATATTTCAAATGGCGCCATACTCCAGGTTCAAATGTAGGTTCTTGGCCACTTTGAAGTTCATTAGTTCTGTACCAGCCAAGTTTATTACTGATCAGTACATCCTCTGGCTTTATATTTAACGTTCTCAGGCAATTACCCAAAGTTTCTAAAGCTAATCCAGCTCCATATTTTCCAGCACAGTCAAATACGACCGGTTTTTGTGTTGAGCTATATTGAATACATGCTGTAACAATTTCAAGTTTAATTTTATCTTCAAGTGCCACATATAAATTTCCTAGCGCACTAGTCCCAAAGATTACTTTCGGTAATGTTATTCTTTGTGACATCTTAAAAAGGGCAGACGACTAATATAGCTTTTTAGTACACAATGTTTGAAAAATTCATATAGATATTGGGAGTTAGCATCGAATTATAAACAAAATAGTCGCTTTAGGTTTTTGAAAGTATCACTTTCGGTTTTTCTGAAAAGTTGTAGTCCATGCGAGTGACTCCTCAGGAACATCCACAAATTGATATTCTCAAATTCTAAAGAAATACTCAATATTCGAGTCCGAATATTGAATGCTAATTACGAATATCGGATCGAAAATTCTTAAAAAATTGATTTTTAATGAGAAAAGTGGATTGTTTTTTTTTTCGGATGATATAAGTAAGCTATCTGAAAATATGCAAGACTTGGGTAGAATGATATGGTTCGTTGATATTCAACAGCACCTAGGTATGCTCAAAACCGAATTGGCTTTCCAAATATGACGAGAAACTCCACGAAACTAATATTTTTCAAGCTAAAAGACATTTTCAATTTAAAAAGAACAAAAAAGTGTAAATTTCTTCAAGTCATAGTTTTTCCATTTGGCAAGGAACATAATCTCGAATGGGAAAATACCACAGACGTATGCAGTTTTCGATTGTTTATTTAATAGTGAATTGGATGAGCTTTTCAAAATTTGGCCTTTTTCGGAATACACGGTTTCCTCAAATAAAAGTTTTTGAGAAATCCTCGAAGAATTTTATTATATCCATTGACAAAGAGCATCGAAAACTGAAACAAATGATATATGGTGCATATTTTTCTCAGTTTCTTCTACCGAGTAATTCAGCGATACACCATTTGGTTCAGTTTTCGATGCTCTTTTTTAATTACATATAAAAAAAATTACAAAAAATAGGAACTGATATTTTCAAAATGAAGCACAATGGCTATTTTGTTCAGAATTCGACACTGACTCTGACTATTTATATGACTTTCAGGAATATTGTTTACTGAAAAGCTCTCTTATCCGCCTTCCTCCTTTGATAAAGAGTGAATGCATGCTGATTAATGAGAGGAGAGAGGCTATTCATTTTAAAATTATTAGGCTCGTATTTCAGACAGACTTCCAGCAAAAATCAAGCAATATAACTATAAATCGTTAGATATTGGACTGTATACTTGCCCAGACTACTTTCGCTTCATTTTGCATGGAAATCGTGGCTATATAGACGTTTTTTAGTTCTAAATCTTCTATTCCTAAAGTTATAGAATTTTCAGAATGACACTACTAACTAGTCTTTTCTTAGAAAAACACCATTATCAGAAATTTGAGGGTTGTTAACTTGCGATCATCTATTTGTGAATATGATTACTTCAAATAAATGCAAGCTTCGCATAAATTCTTATTCAAGAGTTTCTCTATTTTTCAAAACTGAATCCCTGATAGAGGAGGCCATGCTATAAAACATTTACTGAAAGAACGTTTTGGTGTTAGTGTATGATTTTCTTGTATACGTTGTTTTATATTCCAATACATACGTACATATTTAGGTTTATGAGCAGATACAACCGAAAATCGTTCAAGATGAAGTGTATGAAATTTCTTCCAGCTATCTATGTAAGAGCAATCAGCAACGAGCCGAAGTCAAAATCTTTTAAAGGGATAATAACAGTTTTCCCTCAAAAATTTAATATATAGAAGATGTTTTTTAGGTAAGGTGCGGGCAGGTCAAACTTCAAGTAAAATTTTTTTTTTGCCTTTTTTTTACATCATCTGATAGAGCTTGAGCTGCTGATCACGAAAATCTACATTTTAGCCTCAATAAATGCTTCCTTCCGATCGAAAAATACGAAATACTCGAAAGATGCCGCTTTTCGAGAAAAACTCATTCTCTCTAGAAATGTGTGAAATTTTCCACCTTAATCTATTTTTTGCTTCTGAAAATAATTTTTTCAGATTCAGCATCAAAAACTGAGTAGAAATAAGTTGTTAAATCAACGAAAGACCCAAAGCTCTATTGGTGGTAGCACTTCGAATCGCGTCGAGTGCACTGCGTATAGGTCGATTTTGTAAACCTATCTAGTTTTTCTATGTAAGCGATAAAGGCAAATATTTTATCTCATTCGACTCATCATACCAGCAGTTACAAAATTACAGAGCACTTTTTTTCCTTTTCTTTCCTTTGTCGAGAAAAGTCGTTTTTACTAAATTCTGGGCAAAAAGGCTGAAATTCTGTCGGTATTTCTCAATTTTCTTCATCAAAACTACGTTTTCATGCAATAAGATTATCATATTTGGAATCAGCGTGAAAAATTACGTCGATCTATGTATACTTTTATCGTTTCCTTTCACTTCAATTTTTTTCGAATTTTCACCTGATGCAGGAGCTGAAATTTTCGGGAAAAAATGAAAGGTGATAAAAGTTTTGAAAATATACATAGATCGACGTCATTTTTTACGCTAATTCCGAATATGGTAATCTTATTGCATGAAAACGTAGTTTTGATGAAGAAAATTGAGAAATACCGGCAGAATTCCAGCCTTTTTGCCCAGAATTTAGTAAAAACGATTTTTCTTGACGAAGGAAAGAAAAGAGAAAAAAAGACTCTGTAATCTGATAACAAGTGGTATGATGTATGGAATGAGATAAAATAATTGACTCCATCGTTTACGTAGAAAAACTACATAGGTTTACAAAATCGACCTATACGCACGCATCATACACTGTAAAAAAAAAAGGTACTTTCTGGAACCTCAGAAAAAGGTTCGGTAGATGACAAAAAGTTTGCAAATGTGTTGAAAGTTTCAAAAAACGAATAAAAAAACCGGAACCTTTAAAGGATCTTACCGTGTACCTAAGTGAAGATCCTTTTTCTTCGAAACCTTTTTAAGTTCCGTACACCGAAAAAAAGATTTTGTAGGAAAGTACGAAACCTTTAGGGTTTCGTATTGAACCTCGAGGTTTCGTACTGGGTTTCCTATAAAACTATTATACAAGATGCGAAACTTTAAAGGTTTCGTACTTTCCTACAAAACCTTTTTTTTGGTGTACGGAACTTAAAAAGGTTTCGAAGAAAAAAGGATCTTCACTTGGGTACACGGTAAGATCCTTTAAAGGTTCCGGNTGCTTTCTTTTGAATGGCTCAGACTACACCATGTTAAGTTCGTATAGGAGTAGAAAAAAACTAAAGCTTAACTTAATTTTACGTTAAGTTAAATGGTCTACCCCTACTGCGAAGTTCAAATTTTTGACTTCGTCTGTATTTTCTGTCGAAATTTGACTTCAACTTCGAGGAACTATAAAAATTGTGCTTGACTAGTAAAAATACTTCTTTTTTCTTTCTTGAAAGTTACTTATAAATCTATCGTATATTTTTATTCATTACTTAACATGTGAAGAATAAAAACTACTTGATGGGAAGTTTTAATATCCTTAATTTATCTCGTAAGTTATATCAGGAGTAAACTTTCTTTTTTTTTCGAATTTTTTATACAAAAAAAGTGATCATGGCTGAGCAAGCCAAATAAAATATGCCTCAATTTCAAATGAAGTCTGGTTGACAGAACTCTGAAATGATGATTATTAAAATTCACGAATCATCAGACTCGAAGATCAATATGAAGATACCACGATGGATTCAATTGAGTTCTGAATTCTTAATGTAAGGATATACGAGGATAAAACTTGAGTTTAGAGTACATGGACCATACACTATAATTCATTGGCTTCAATTTTTCATCATTCGCTCTCGAAAATGAAAAAAAAAATTTCGTCAATTTTTCTGAACATCTAATAATTATGTCCAAGAATCTCATACTGATCAAATTTCGATCAATGAATATAAACGAATATATTTTTAATATTAATACAAGAAAAATTTTCTCGTTCATCGAACTTAACAATATTATTGATTGATATTTTATTTTTCTTACGCATCTGTTTCAGCATTTGGTTTTTTCATATCATTCGATAAATGTGCTTCATATATACTATTAACAACAGTATTGCCCAATTCAGACATAACAATTAATGTTTCTAAATCCCATGTATCCATATGAAGTGAACGAACTTTTGAAAGACTAACACCAAGACCTCTGATTATTAAAAACAAAATATTATTGTTAAGTTATGAAAAAGGAAAATATATATAATTGAACTAACCGATGAGCACCACCACAATTTACACAAAGTAAAATTCCTAAATTGATCGATGCCCATTCTGGTTCATCTGCATCACAATCACAACATTTTTCATTGCCTGTAAGTGAACGTACATATTCAATTTTATCTTTAATCCTAAATACAATAAAGTATTAAATATTTGATAACAATTTTATTTAGTGTTTTTTTTTTACATTTGTTGTTTTATTTCAACTTTAGCAGTTAAAAATGTATTTGGACGATCATCAGAGAACATTCTTGGTAATGACTAAAAGTAGAAAAATAAAAGAAATAATGATAAGTTTGTATTTTAATGATATACAAACTGCAAATGAATTTGCATTTCCATTATCTGACGATTTAAATAAATTAGTTATTGCTAATTGAAGTGAATTAATCCATTGATCACATTCAATTTGTGAATCAGCTTGAAGAAGATGTGAACTAAAATATTTTAAAATAAATAAAGAATTTATTTTAAAAAATTTCTACCTATTTGGTGAAATAATTTCAAAAACAAATCGACGATCATTATCATTCGATGGACGAATTGTACATAAACGTAAATCAGATATCATTACGGAATATGATGATTGTTGTTGAGAACTATCATTCATTGAATTTCCATTATTACGTTTCATATAGAGTAATTGACCATTACGAATTAAAAACCAACGTCTAAATAAATAAAAACATTAAAAAAGCTTTAATTTCAGTAGTAGTATAAATCCATCTTAGTAATGAAATTACAATTAAAATACTGAAAATCGTATTTTTTACTATTTGTAAAACACGATTTAAGACCCCCCCCCTCATAAAATGTCAGTTTTCTTTGGAATGGTCAAAGCTGAGATAAATACATGGAAAGATATCCCGTCATCTGCTCTTTCATAAACGATAATTTGTTTTTCTCGTTACTTCATTTTTCCAAAAAAATTTTCAAGATTTCCGTCAACCCCTATTCGAAAAACCAGCTGTTGTTTGAAAAATCAAAAAATGTTTTTCGTTTTTTCTCAGTTTCCGCTTTCTCAAAAGCGCATCCCAAATTTCTCGTTCCTGGTTCGTTCAATGCATTAATATTTTTGTTTGTTTAAAAGACCGTCGCAAGGCGCAGGGCATGATGGGGCGATTTTTTTTAATTAAGCCTTTGTTTGGTCAATATCCAGCCAGTTATATGATTTGGTTACCATTTTTTGACACTTTTTTCAGTAATTGAACTTGTGATCTCTTTTTGCACTTAAAAAGGGACTATTTCAAAAAAACAGCCCCATCATGCCCTGCATCTTGAGATGCTCTTTCCAACAAAAAAAAATGTTAATATATTGAACGAACCAGGACCAAAAATTTTGGGATGCCAAATGAGTCATTTTTGACCCTTGTTTGCTTCATATCCCCCTAAAACCTGAAGATTTTGGGCCGAAAATTTTATGGTAGTCTCTTCTCTTGAGCCCCAACATATCCTGAAAGTTTCATGCAATTTGGATGTTCCTGGGCTGAGATAGTTTTTTGAGGGGACCTTAAAAGAAATTATGAAGTATAGGGGTGAGACTTTTGGATTCTTTTCCCAAATCATAGCCAGTATCAACCAGAAACTATCACAGATACTGACAGACATACTGTTTTCCATACAGAATTAAAACCTCGTTTTTATACTAAACGAGATGTAAAGATTTAAGCTGATTGATTGAGACATAACAATAGATACTTAGTTTTTGTATAATTTTCAACATTCAGGATCAGTTTTCAAGAAATATTCTTGTTTAATTTCTTACCATTAAATAAAAAACTTCTCTATATCTATTGTAGAAAACTTCAAGAACGATCAATTACTAAAAAGAACATGATTTTGTTTCATTGTCTTATCTTTGACAGCCATAACGTACAAAATGAATAAGTTTCGAAAAGATAATATTTTGCTTATGAGTCTTTTCTACCCGTAGGAGAAAATTTATCTCATAGACGTGCCATGTAATACCTAATACTATTTCTTAGTTCTTTTATTATAATAATTAAATTAAGAAAAAAAACCCATCTACCACTTGTCTTCTGAAGAATAATATTGGTAATGTATATAGTCGTTTTTATTCATATTTTTCTATAAAAATATATAACTAACCTATTCCATGTTTTGAATTTATTATGAGAACGTTTAAATAGATAGCCTGAAAGAAAAAAAAACGATTTATTTATAAGAAATTAAACATTTTATTAATTTACCTTCTTTTGCTGCTTCAACTCCATATGTTAATGTACCTGTAATATTCGATAAACTTTGTTGTGATTGATTTCTTCGTAATTGTTCTTTTGGCTAATTGATATAAGAAAAAGAAATGTGCATTTATTACAAAAGAAAAAAAAATTCTCTTACTATAGATAATAATGTGTCTGTTGAAACTCCATCATTTCGATTATCATCAAATTTCCACTGAAATAAAAAAAAAAAAAATCAAACATTTTTGTTTTCTTTTGAAAGCGAAAAATAATGATGAGAGAAAGAGCTAAGCAGTAAGTTAAAAGTGTTTTTCGATTAGAAAAAAGAATATCCAAATCCATCAGCAATTAAATAACCTGCCGAGAATAATGAGATGATGATAATTTTAATTTAATTGGAAAACATGTCATATTATCTTTTGGTGATGAGAACTATAAAGTTCATAAAAATGATAATAGTACTGTCTTTTTTATAATAATTAATCATACATGAAAAAAAGAAATTAAGTGAAAATTTAAATAAAACGAAATTTAATCTAATAAACTTACTCTTTTTTGATTAGTATCATGGACTTTTTCTAATATTTTTTGTTTTTGAACATTCTCTTGTCTCATTTTAGCTAACTAAAACAAATCAATATAATATAAAATTTCTTTTCATATTTATTTAAATGATAAGAAAAAGAAAAAAAAAAAAACAAATCTTTAAAAATTTACTTCTGTTGTAATTGAATTAAAATCTTTTTCAGTATCTATAGATAATAATTCATAACCTTGATGAAAAAATGCTTTATGAAAATTAATATATGATAAAAATAATTCAATTAATTCAACTTTATGTTGATTATATAAAACATTTATTTGATATGTATAATCAATTGATGTATGACCAAAACAACTACGTGTTGCTGTTAAAATTTTACTGGCATCATCACATATATGAGCTAGAAATTAAAGATAGAATTATTAAATGATGAAAGGATATTTTTAATCGAAGTTTTTTTTTTTAAATATCTATGAACAATCTAGTGATATGAAAACATTTCAGAAAAAAAGAATTCATTTTTTTCTCCACTAGGTTTCTTTGTAGAAATTTGTGTCTAACTTCAAAAAAATTCTCATTTCAACCAATATGGATTTTATAGGCCGTAAAAGGCTCTATCTTTCAGTTATATTAAAGGGACTTTCACATCAACGCCTGTTATTTGGGGAGAGAATACTGAGCTTTTCGTATTTGGTTCTTATCAATAGTTTACAATATATATGTACTATGTTCTTTATTTTAAGACATGTTCACGGCGATGTGATTCACCGATGGATCACAGCACAACAATTGAATGTATCCAATATGTTTCATTCAAATAGGATATACTTTTTGATAATAAAGGAATGTTCAAAGCTTTTATTCATAAGAGAAATGTCAATAGATGCTGCATTGAAGTAGTATAATAGGGTACAAGAAGCAAAATTTACTTTGGATGAATAAACTGAAAATTGAACTTCTTATATTTCAAAGTTGTTATGCATATACATAATTTTTGTCATCGTGAAGCCAATTATATTATCTTAATGTAGAACTTATTTTTGTTTCTCTTATGAACATTGCTCTGTTCTCAAAAAGTATATTCCGTTTGATTCAAAAAAGAGTAGATATATTTAACTTTTCTTTTTTTTTTATAAAGTTGATCCCATAATATTTCTAATCGCATCTGCTCGAATATGCTAATTTAGAAAAAACGAAACAATAACAGTAAAACCACTATAAAATATAAAAAATCGATCCGGCATATTAAACATTAACTATTTTCTTTGAGTTTCAATATTCAATCTCTATAGCACTATAAGAACATTAGTTTTCATACTTATGTCAATACGCTTATAAGTATCTTTCATATTCGTACCAAGATACAGGTGCAGGTATTTGACACTATTTTATCGAGATTTTTTCAATTGTATGGCCAAAGACGAGGCTCATTTTTTTCGACATATTAAGCTATTCATTTAGGTCAAAAAGCAATAGATTTTATTCCTGAACGCATAGTTTATCTGATAATTTTATTGTTGATATTGATTGATCTATTGTGTAGACTAATAGATCAAATTCTATTCCTCATCATTGAAGTCTTTATTTTTAATTTCAAATTTTTGACTTTTCTAATCTATATTGACATAAAAAACTTATTTAACGTGTCAGTAATTCCAACATAGGTTAAAGAAAATCAATGGCAATATTTTTATATGGTTCTATAAAGCTCGACAAGAATATTTATATCACATTCTTTTTGATATATAATGTTGAGAGAACATATGAATCAATAGGACTGAAAAACCCAATAAAAATTCATTACAGCTATTTCAATTTTATGTTTCAGCACTGTTCAAAAAACTTATTTGTTTCATATCATCGACAAAATAGTGACAAAATATGGTCGTATTTTGTGATAATGACTATCGAAAGTTGATTTTCGGTATCAATACAAACAAAAAACTGCATCGAACAGTTTACGTTGTATCAAAGCATATTTTTAGTAAAAGCTTGATTCATACGCGATCATAAGAGTAAAATTAATTGGTCTTTTTGTATTGCGTTAAACTCTCATACATTTTTATAGGAATTTTTCAGTTTAGTTTGCTCATCTATTTTCTCCATATTATTCCTAAAAAAAAACGTTGACATACATATTCTTGTAGAGCTCGTTGAACTCTATTGAAACATGTAAAAATATCGTCATTGATGTTTTTTCGTTGGTTTTTGCATTCCTAACATTTTAAACCCGATAAAACACTGACAAAAAAAAAAAGTTTACTCATACAATATGATTAGAATAGAAAATATTGATTTACATTTTTTTCAAAGACATTTACACATATTCAGCAAGTCATCAATTATAACATGACTTCAGAATCATATATGACCAATAAAATAAACTAATCTGTTTTTTTTTTAATCACTATTTCTTGAAAAGATATTCATACAAAAATATAATTACATATTCTGACAACGCCCATGGAAGCATCCTCATCATCAAATTGTTCACGGACTTCATTCAATCAGTGTCATTAAAATTACAAGTTTTTAAAAGTTTTCATTACTATAAAATTACCTTTTTTTTTTTAAAGAAAAAAAGTAAATATATACTCTGATCGAGTTTGCAATTCTCCATCACTCTATATATTTACTTAATGTCTGGCATCTATTTGTTGCAACAAATAAATGTCAAATAACTTATCAATAGACAAGATGATTGAAAATTTTGTACTCTATCAGAATTTATAATTGTGTTTTAAAAACTTTTTGCCTATAGAAATAATTATTTTAAAATAAAAACTATAAAAATAATGTTAAAATGGAGATTTTTTTACATTTGTTATGTTCACTATCAAAGTATAAACTTTGTTTTTAAAATCTTAAATCTATAATGATGAAAAATTACTTTTAATGATATTGACTAATTGAAATCTGTGGGAATTTGATGATAAGAGTGCTTTCATTACATTCAACTTATAAATATTTCTTTTCGTATTATTTATCTTCAATAAATTTAATGTAGTCTTAAGTAAGAATTAGTTTTCATCGAAATGTTATTATTCATTTTATTTACGTTTAGTTTTCGACGCATCAGCATTCTTTTGTAAAGCTAAAATATAGAAAATTTTCAATTAGAAAAATAATGTTTTTATCAATATATCAACATTACCAATATCATAATCTGAACTTAAACGTTCAAATAATTTGCCTTGATCTTTAACTTTTCTTATATCATCTTTTAACATACGTGTTAATGTTCGTAAAAGACTATGTGATGTTTGTTCAAGTAAATTCTAATCAAATAAATGAAAAGAATAATGAGAAAAAAAAACGAACAAAATAAAAAGCAAAATTTTTTTACAGAAAAAAGTGTTTGAATTTCACGTAAATAATTTCCAAATTTTGCTAAACTTTTATAAGCTACTTCATCTGTAGAAAATAATTCACGTACATCAAAAATACATTTTAGAAATTTTCTAAAAACAAAAATAATAAATTATTATATCTATAAAAATAATATTTCTTTTTTCTTACTGAAATTCTTGTACAAATACTTTTCCATTATTAATTACAGAATTGCACATTTTAAACATCTGTTCTAAACGATCTTCAAGTAGATCAATATGATTTGCTGCTTGTCGAAGTTGAGTTCTATTTTATAGATAAAATTATATTATTACTTCGAAACGAAAAACAAAAAGAAAATATATATGTATAATAATAACATACCGATAAGCAGGAGAATCTTTAAGACATTCATCGAAATCAATTGTATCCATTATAATCATAGGACTAAAATAAAACTAATGATATCTATTATATTAATACAATGAGTCAAGATGATTTTTCCTTTTTTTTTTTTTGCTCTTATGTAATCTAATGGCTATCGTTTCGAGTATAGTTGTCACATTAGCTGATGTATGCCGGCAGCTAGTCTCTCGTCTTTTTTTTTAATGTTTGCTCATTATATGAATGTATATGTTCAGTAAGTGAGAAAATGAGTAATTATATAGAAACAATAGAAGAATAGCACATGTTTGTAGAATGAGTGCTTGACCTCTTGTCAGCATCAATTTCACGGAAGCTACTTACTTGATCGATCACACTATTGGAATCAAATGGTAACTCGTCGTCGTATTGACATAGTAGAAAAACAAACGAAATTAAAAAAAAATGATCTAGAGAAACAGATGGTAATGTCCATAGGGTATTTTGCTTTCTATTGTCTTTATTAAAATTAACATGTAAACGATGTCATATTATAGCTATGCATATCAAAATTCCATTCTTCATCATCTCAATAGACACTTATTATACATTCTCATAGACATATGATGATAAGACGATGAGAAAACATTCATATTTATGTTATTCTTGTTTAGAAAAAAACTTTGATTAAAAATCAACTGTTTTTGTATAAACAATATTTAAGAATCAATTCTTGTTGAAAATTTGATCAAAATAGAGAAAATAATAAAATACTAAATAGACTTAAAAATTTATTCTGTAGTCTCAAAGGAAGACTTTTTTTTTTCTCTTGTTCTTCTAAACTATAAAAATATACACAAAAAATTCCTAATTTATATGTTGTTGTTGTTTATTATTATTCTTTTTTGTTTTTTTGTCATATCAACTTTTTTTTTATACATTAAAAAAATAATCTAGAAATAAAAAAAAAGATAATCAATCTTTCTCTTTTTGTTTGTTTCAAAATGTCAAATACATAAAATATTAGGAGGAGATTAATTAATTATAAATCAAAGAACAATATGATTATTTGATAGAGAAGCCAATAAAGAAAAATAATATTCAATTGTACATGAGAGAGTAGCTTGAGTGTAATCAAACAAAATATATAAGAGAGTCTTAATAAAACATGATTCAAAAATATAAAATCAAACAAGAAAAAGGTAATAATGACAGATGAAACTATATCGAATCAAATAGAAAGTATATATTATAGATTTTCATGAAATTTCAATCGATATGTTGATTTACAATTCTAAATAAATGATTAAATTCAACATAAAAAGAAAAAAAAAATTTTGGTCCGCCGGCCTACTTTTGAAATTATTAAGTTTAATTCATCAATGTCAAAGTATAGCAAGATGTTTAGCGACGTATTTGATTAATTATCTCGATATCATATGAAATCTTTTTATCATGAGAAAGAAACCATTTTTATTTCGAAGTTTTAAAAGAAAAAAAAATATGAAAGTAAAACATTTTACTGATTCATCATTTGCATTCATACAAGAATGCTCACGTACGCGTATACATGCATCATGCCTACATACATGCAATTTCATCATCATAGCAGTTGGTCGAATTCAAACAAACGGCCAGCTGATCTTCTTTTGTCTCTAGATGTCGTCATATTTCATGATGATGCTTATGAAACATCTTGTAATATTAGACTGAGTTGTTTTTCTAGAAATATTTATTTGAACAAAACATGATTAAAAAATAATTAGACGATTTTTATAACCATTTTTGAATACTTTATTTTAATTTATGATTAGATAAGTATAGGTATACATAATTTAAAATAAGAGAAGCTTAGCCATTCTCCCTCTGTGACGTTACTAATAGAAACTATCACCGGTATACTGATCGGTATAATGTACTCTAAACCGACGGTTTCTTTTGAAAGTGTTGTATTATCGTGTATTGTATCGAAATGGTTGAATATTTTTGAAATCTGTTAAAAGTGACAGAATTGAATTTAGAACCCAAATCGATTCTACTTATGCGATAGAGTTTTATTAGGAAAATATATTCTGAAATTCGTTGTCTCTCGATTAATTTGTTCTTTCTAATAAATAATTTGATTTTGGGCAGAAAATATTCTTCTTATAAACGTTCATAGGTACATTCGAAAGTATTAAGCTCTACTATCGGTTCTTATGACATACGATTCAACTGCCTATTGATAATCTACTTGCTTTCGAAGGACAATAATATTGGTATCCTCATCTCAAATGATTTGTGTAATCGATCGACACTCAATTTATATTCGTCTCTGTCTCAAGCTACCAGATTGAGATTGTAATAACAGACAACAATTTTTCAGATTTTATGGGTATAAGCAATGATTTCAGTTCATGAAAATGGCTTTCAACTATATATTTGATAGTATTTTTTTTGTTCAAATTTTCAACGAATTGATATCTGAGAAGCGTCATTCGTTTATTCAAATGATCATTAAGTTAAACAAGCAATGTTCATCAGGGTACAGATTCACTTCGCCCTAGACTCAATTAATATGAATATTTTTAATATTGGGACTTTGAAAAAAAATAAGGGAAAAAAATTAAAATAACTACGTAAAATCATATAAACAATGGTTTATAAGATGTGTTTTAGATAGACACACTAGCGCACATAATGAATAATGTAATGTGAATGTCGATTGAATTCAGCTTTTCTGCTATGTATTACAACGTCAATTAAATATTGTGTTTTAAAAAATAGTCGATAGTGCTAAAAATATTTCTCAAATGACATCAAAACTTCCATAGTTCAATGCATAAAATCTTCGATCACTATTCGTGTGATATTGCATTGAGTTTTTTTTGTTGTTGTCTCTCTTTGATGTATAAAAAGAATATTATATGTTGCGAATACTTGTTTGCTTTTTCTTTTAAAACGATACAACTCGATGTCGTACTTTGTGTTGATCAACGCCATCATTAGATCTAGATATGTTATGAAAAATGTCAGTTGAGATTTTGAAAAAATAACAAGCAAGTTCCGTCTTTCATTCACACGTGAAGTACACTTGTGAAGCAAGGAAAGCTTAATTATAATTAAGCATGATCAAAAGACAAAATGAAATCAGAAGTAATATTGAAATGAAAAATGTCATTTTTTCATAGCGATCAAGAGAAAAGAAGAGTCCCAATGCAAATTTCGTTCAATTGTATTTCTTATTTTCATCTTGTTCGTAACATCAAACATGTTATATAATTTTAAATAAGTTTGTTTCATTGGGACACATTTCAATAGTAGAAAAAAGAAACGCAAATAGTTTTCATTCTTGACTTAATTGTATTACATTTCCGCTGCTTCATTTAAAACTTGTTGTGCGTGCTCAAGAAGCACCGACAAGTGAAATACATTATTTCTTTGTTTTCTCCATCTAAATCAACACTTATGAGATATCTCATCAAGTATAAATGCCTGCTTTAATTAAAACATAATAGCATTTCACAACGATAGTTAAAGCAAAAAGAAAATGATATTACTCTATGACTTTATTCGCTACATCTCAGTATATGTTATACTCAAACCAACAGAAGAGTACAGTTCATATTCATTTTAAGCTTTAGATTTCTAATTAGTGTTATCGATTTATTCAGATTGTAGTCGATAGGCATGGTTGAATTAGGACAAATAACACATGATTTTACTAACTACGGCTTTTTCACTGTACTAGTCATTGGAACAATTGGTAGTTTATTAAATTTGATAACTTTTTTATCCAAAACGTTTCGAACAAATGCTTGTACGTTTTACTTGATTTGCTCTTCTTTGATTGAACTTATTTTCATTAATTTCGGCATTATTGCTCGTTTTACAACGGAATATTTTGGAAATAATTTAATGTATACCAATCGTACGATTTGTAAAGTACGTTCTTACTTACCAGTATGTTTACCGATTATGGCTTCAACGTGTGTTGTTTTGGCAGCATTCGATCGATGTGTTTCGACATCATCGAATATACGATGGCGNAAAAAAGCCAGAAAGAGAAAGAATGAGATGAATTAAAGAGTGACATAGGGTACCAATGTAAGAAGCTAAATCTATTCCATAAACTCGAGTCAGTTGAAGGTAAAAAGTAACATTCACATGATTGAAGATTCATAGGAAAGAGAAACCGAGAGATGTTCCTCGCCGATGTTCGCTCATCGTTATCGTCACTATTGTCCAAACATCTACCAGAAACTGTTTGTCGAGAATGTTCTAATGCTTAAGAGAACCATAGATTGAGAAAGCATTCGTCATCCATAACACACAATCGCCAGCGACGACAGACAAGAGACACACACAGAAGATCTGACAGTTGATCAATATGCAAAAAGATCTGATGTAATCCTCGCACGGAAATTCCTCCATTTGCTTTCGACTGTTTGTTCAATCAATATAGTCTTGTCTAATGAACATTAACACAAATATATATATAATGACCTTTTATTTGTTGATATTCTGTCGACATTGTGCGCCCGTTGCTCCTCCGGCCATTCACTCAACAATGGACGTCGACACAACACAATTAGCGACCATGGTTTAAAGTGTTATACGGAACAGTATGCCCACCGCGAGAAAAGATTGGCTGAATTATAGTGGATACTGAACTTCTACAAGTAATAGTAGAAAAAACTAACCTAGGCGTATAATTGGTTTTTTGTTCACTAGATTGTATATAATATTTTAGCTCAGCGATCTAAATATTGATTTCAGAATATGATTTGATCAGACAAAATCTTGTGAGAGACATAATTTTCGACTTGTTTTCTCACTATCTTATACATACACGATAGTGTATTCATTAGCATCAGGGTATGGATGTGATTAAAGATAAATAGCAGACATCAACGTCCAAAGCCAAATTCGCACCCTTCAAACGTGAACAGCTTTAAATGTGAGGATAATATTGTTTTCTTATTGTTGTTTTATTCAGTGTCTGATAAAATCATGGGCTCTAAAATTTGAAATACAATCTGAGGTTTTCCAGTCAAAAAAGACTTTCTAGTTAAAAAGATTTTTTTCTCCT